CTTCCTCCATGGAGAGAATGTCCACAGCTTTACAATTTCACAACTAGGGGGCACTACTCCTGCATTTCTTTCTCTAAAACAGAAATTCCACATTATTACTATACATACATAGAAACTCATTATTTTTTAGACCTCTTCTTAGGCCTTTATGAGATTAGTCAGGCAAGTTTTGACAGAATTTCATTTTTAGTATTAACCACGGCAGAAGACTAGGATGAGGTGTGGTGTCTAAAATACTCCTCAGCCTAGAAAGTTCTCTGGGAACTTCAGAGGACTCTTAAAATCTCTGGACTGTCAAGTCCCAGAGCATGCTTCATCCCAGCCTGGCCCTGTTCTTTGGGTAAAAGACTAAGATAAGCAGGAACAGACTAAGGAAGAGTATATCTGAGGTCTCTCTGGAAACTCACAATTCTTCGGTTTAGTTAAAAAAACAAAAACAAAAACAAAACTGGAGTGAGTTTTTCCATAGTATAATTCACCTTCTAATGTGTCTTTGAGAGCCTATTTAACTTGGCCTCTATGGACTAAAATAGGTCATAGGACATCTCACAAATTTTTATGAAGGCATTTTGTAGGCTGGCATAGGTACCCAGAGAGAAAGAAACTTAAAAGTAATCAATAAGACAAATATTATATATTCATAATATATATGTATATATACATGCACAAATACACACACATACAATTTCACAATTAACTCATCTTTACCTTGTACAGGGTGGACTTGATTGTCCAGGACACCCAGAAGTCCTGTTGCCCCCTGGTGGTCGCTGAATTGTCACAGATCTTGATACCTAAAAATCCTCTGGGTGAAGAGCTTAAAAATTGCAACATGAGAAACCATGGAAGCATGTAGAAGTAATTTGAATAATTTAAGCCAGTTCATCCTATCAGTCCTGGTGATTTATGGCAAAATGAACTAGAAGTAATGGAATAAAAGAGCCTCCCCATGCGAAATCAAGTTTGGAAAAAAAAAAAAAATCCACTAAGAGCACTGAACATGTGCTACTTGATTTCAAGTATAAAGTGCCACATTTTCCCAGCTACATTTTGTTATTTTAATACGATTTTTAAAAAGAGTAATTTGACTGAATACTTTTTAATATTTTAAGTGATTAGAAAATTTCAGTGGTACCTCAGCAATATTCAAGTAGACTCATAATTTAGATATAAATTATATTTTTATTTGTTAAACTGTCTCAAATTAACTTGGAAATTGTACTTAAAGAATTATAATTGTAATCTTCTGAACTTTAGTCATTTATCTGACCTCATAAAAGTGTGTGAAATTTTACAAAAGCACAAAATACATTCTTGACCTATGATTTAATTTCTGACCTCTTTCTATACTTTCAGCTAAATCTGAGCTTAGAAAAATTAGTGAATTAATATGTTTTAACGAGCTTAGCTTATGCACATTTTTACATTAAACCACAAATAAACATTTTATATACACTACATAAATAATGCTAATGTAAATATGTAAATGATTTTCCTACACAGTTTATATTTTGACTGTGTATATTTTGACTGAAATCACAGAACCCAATTTTCTGTAATATCTATTAACTGAGACATAATGCTTCTTTTCTGTTTATAATCAATTTCTTCTGCACAGTACCTTTTCTAATTCAGTTTAAATTACCCTTTTTCTGTGATGAACTTGCATTTTCACATTTGCCAGCTGTGAATGCATTTTGATGGTAAGTACAAAAGTAGCGGGTACAGAAACAGCCCTTTGATTTCATTGTTGTTGTTGTTAACTGTTTAGTTTGACAGTCTTGGATTTGTAACACACTGAAATCTCCAACTGTTCCTTTGCCCTCAAATGGCCTGAATACTAGACAAACACAGTATATCCTTTTCTTTTATTTGAAAATTCATATAACTTATTCCCTGAAGTCATTATAATTTACTCCTATTTCTCTCTTAAAATCAGATAATATTTCCCAGAGGTAAACAGTGAGGCAAATATTAGTATTGTAACAAGTTAAAACAAAATAGCAGGTGTACCCTCATTTGGAATGTGTGTCTTGAATTTGTACATTTTCCTACATGTCCAGTGATGCGATTATTGGTAATTATACAAATAAAATAATACAAAGTGCCTTAAAATTGGGTATATCTCCTTTGTATCTGAAGAGAGGCAGTTTTCATCTTTCCACTATACATTTATTATAGATGTTTCAACAGAGGGGATATAAAGTTGAAATATTAAGGTCTTAGTCTCTGTTTCCATTTACTTAAAATTCACTAAATACATGTGGATGACACTATCAACTTAATTGTACAATGAATGCATAAAAATTTAAAACTAGTTTTCAGAATTATTGCTTTGGCGCACAAGTGTTGGTCTCATACACTATTTGGTATTGCTCAGGAAGACAAGTTTCTTTTGAAATCACTTTAAATACAAACACATCACATTATTAAAAAAATTGTTCTAGAAATAATATGCTTAAATCATAGAAATGAAGCTAAAATAAACTGTAATGGTATGAGGAAGTTCACCATTAAATGTTATTTTAAAATGAGAAAGTTTTTATACTGATTTTTTTATGTCAGTGACTTCATGTACAAATAGGTCTATATGCTTTATCATTAGTCAAATACAGTAGAGTGTACATTTATATATTAAACATTTATTATCATTAGTCAAATACAGTCGAGTGTACATTTATATATTAAACATACACTGTATGCTGAACACTGTCTTCTTGACTGTCATTTATTTTTATTTAAATGCTCCGAATTCTTTGTCAATACATCTAAATACTACAAAAGAAAGAAGAGAAGGTTGAAAAACCTAAAAATGAGTATCATTGTGCAGCTATGCAGGGAGAACTGTCAGCAGCCTGGCACATGTGCATTTAATGTGAAACTTCTTGTCTCTAAAAATAAGAGTAAGGCTACACATGCCCCTGTGTCTGACAGAGAGAAGGGACACAAAAAGAGGACTCACTATACCACCGACACTCATCAGAGGAGTGAAGGATGTTACTTCTTTGGTTTCCTGGTTTTAATGGAAAAGTATTTGTATTCACATCACTGAGTATTAGTCATTCAATAGATGAAAGGAATACTTTAAACTTTAAAGGCTACCTTGGTGTCACTTTAAAAAGTGGGGATGAGACCCTGGGGAAAGTGCTGAAATCCTGGAGAATTCATTTTAACTATTAGAAGTGGTTTAATATTTGTGAGATTGTAGTTCTGTGAGTTCTAAAGACTAAGTGCAGGAATTGATGTTTTTAACTCTCATGTTTTAGTTTACAAGTTTCATCCTTAAATCATCTATTTACGTAAATAAAGCTTCACCTCCTCTATAACAACTGTGTTCTCCCCACATTTTTTTGTCTCTTTCTAAGGCTAATCTATTTACATTTTCTATGCATCCTTTAAGGGGCACTTAAGATGCTTTTTGATACACTTTGTAAAATATTAAATAGGCATAATGGCTAGGAATACGTAACATTTAAGAAATGTTTCAGAAACTACAGAATCAAAGAGGGTTAAGGAACAAATTTCATCTCTCTCTTCCATGTTATTTTATTAGGCAAATAAAAACTACAGTAGACAATTTAACATAAAATACAAATAAATATCTGGGGGCTGTCATCTTTGAGAAGTCTCTACTATAAACACCAGAAACAACTCAATTTACTTTATATTTCCAGATAAAAAGTTTGGAGTCTTATGTGAGATCAAACCTTGTATCGATCAGAAATAACAGAAAATCATAAATGAAATATTTTAAAAGGAAGAAATACAGGACAAAAAAAGAAATTCATCTTAAACGTGATCAAGTTACTCTGTGTGACCTTTGAAATTGAAGATTTGGCAATTAAAATTTTAAAGTTCTTCCTCTTATTACCTACCTCTTGAACACAGTGTCCAAAACTGCCTAATGGAAAACAGATTTCTCTACGCAGCCTTCCTTGCTGTTCGGATTGAATGAATTCAACTGGAGATATTAGTTATGATTTTTTTTAGTCTTAGTTTCTCTTTGAAAGATAAGCATTGAATAATTCCTGGAAATGGTAAATACTTGCGAAGAGAAAGGTCTTGTTTTATGAATTTAATACGTAGTGGCATTCTTTAAAATTATGTGTAATTTATGCAGCGAAATGGAATACTATCAAAGAGGAGGCAATCCAAGGAAACCCTTAGAAAATGATAAACGCGTTAAAAAACGATACGCAACCGTCAGAAGGTTCTCTCCTAAAGTCCCACTTCCCTCAACAAACTATGGTGAAAAGATAGGGCGGAGGTGAAGGGTGGCTTAAAACAAAAGACTTCCTTTCCCACTCCCCTTTCCTCTGTTTCTTTTGCCAGAGCTTGTTGCAAACTCTTGGAAACACCGTTTAAACATAATACATTTGGTTACTTTATTCTTGCAGGGATTGTGGTGGGTGGTACCCAAAGCTGACTGCTCTTGGAGTAACAGAAAAAGGTAAGTAGAAACTTTTCAAAAAGGCAAAAAACAAGGTTACCCTGCCCGCGGAGGTTCTAACAACAAAAAAGTAAAAGACACTTTACTTAAAGGTACAGCTCATTTCACTGTCCGGGCTCCGTGCTTGGTAGCTGAGAGAAGGCTTGCCTCGCCTCTGGTTTCTAAAAGATTGCGCGGAGTACAGCTCTAGAAAAGAGTGTAAATTGGGAGCGTTATTCTCGGATTTATTCTGCTTTGTGAAAGCTGCGGTTGCTAAAAGCAGAGCGTCCACAGCAGCACACAACTCTGCGGCCATCCTCGTTCTCCTCAGAACATCTAGCGCGAGCTCAGAACCTGGAGGGGAATCCTGGACCAGCAACCTGACTCCGCTCGGCACGGATTGGCTCCTGCCTCGGACCCCGCCCCCGAGGCCGGGGCGGTCATTTCACCGGGACCCGCCCCTTGGCCCTGGGAATCGCCTCCTGGCAGGCCGACTGTGCCTGCCACTCAGCCCGAGTGGCGGAGGCTCTCGGCTCGGAGCCCCGCCCCCTCCCCCCTAATTGATATTATTGGAGTGTGGAGCAAGCGGCCGGTCTGCAGTCGGAGACTTGCAGGCAGCAAACACGGTGCGAGCGAACAGGAGTGGGGGGGGTGGAAATAAAAAAAGCTAAACGTGGAGCAGCCGATCGGGGACCGAGAAGGGGAATCGATGCAAGGAGCACAATAAAACAAAAGCTACTTCGGAACAAACAGCATTTAAAAATCCACGACTCAAGATAACAGAAACCTAAAATAAAACCTGCTCATGCACCATGGTTTTTCAAACTCGGTACCCTTCATGGATTATTTTATGCTACATCTGGCTGCTCCGCTTTGCACACACGGGGGAGGCGCAGGCTGCGAAGGAAGGTAAGGTGATGGGAAAGCAAAGTTTGTTCTGACTTATTTATTTAGCTGTCTACCTGCACAAGCCAGCTCGTCCGCGGCGCCGCCGGCCGCGCCTCCGGCGCCGGGCGACCCTCCCCCGCCGGCTCCCCGCCCCCTCACCGCTCGGGCCGCTCCTGGTGGACCAGCGAGCGAGAGCCAGGGCTGCTCCGAGCCGCCTGCAGCCCTGTGCCTGGGGCCGTCCATCCGACGGGTGCGGGAATTCTGGCGCGGGCAGTCTGGAGGGCGTGAGTAGCAACGGGGGTGGGGTGGGGTTGGAGGAACGGCCGGCGAGCTTATTTCTTAGTACCTCAGTCCGGTCACATCTCTCTCTAGCTCTGTCTTCCTTCTCTCCTTATTCGCCTTCTGTGGGAGCTGCGGCCAGAGTTAGATTGGAGACTGGGAAGTGCAGCCCCTACCGTACCGTCTCCGCCAGCCCGCCGGCGAGTGGCGGGAGCGCGGAGCCTTCCCAGAGGGACCGAGACTTCGGTGAGCTCGGAAAGCTCGGGTTACTAATGAAGTGCTCACTGCGTCGGAGGCGGCGGCGCGGTCCTGCGGTTGGCGCTCGGCCGCCAGCGCGGAACAATAACGCCGCGGAGGTGAAGCGCGGCGTGCGGCGCGCGATCCGCGGGCCTGGGATGTCTCCATTCAGCGCGCGCTGCGCGTCAGGCCCAGCGGTCGTGGGGGCAGCTGCAGCCCAGCGGGCTTGGTCGGGCGGTGGAGGCAGGGGGCGGGCTGGAGCTGTGCAATTTGTAAAGAGATGCCGCTTGGGCGACTCTAAGTCCCCAATTATTTGCCCCGTACTCCAGCAATTGAGAAATCCGAATGGCCAAACCTTGCCAAAACCTGAACCCTGAGGGTTGGTTCTGGTAGGAGAAGGCAGGTTTTATTTGGCAAGCTATTATAGATAAGCCTGTATCTGTTATGTTTTCCTTCTTTGAACCTTTGACAGAAGGTAAAATACCTTTCGGTGCCTGTAGTTGGAGCTGGGGAAAAATAAACCCTAGCAATGGAAATCTCTTGCTTTTGAGCAGTGTCACAATCCCACCCTCAACTCCCCCTCATCCCCTCGCCCCTGGTCTTTCAGGCTGTGTATGTAAGTTTCATTTTTCGATCTCTTAAAAGCAGAAGAGAAATAATAACTTATTCCTGATATGTAGAGGGAGAGGAATCTGTTTTCAAATTTAGGTCATGGTGGTTATCGGGCGGGGGGTTGAGGGCTTACATGTAGGTCCTTGATTCATCTATTTCTGAAAACTTAGTGCGGCTTTTCTTTATTCTCATCGTGCACCCCTCTTAGTTCACTCAAACCTCCCTGCAGCCCGGCGCCACATTCTAGTCCTTCATTCATCCTGACCTTCTGACCCCACTTTCCACATCTGCAACCTGTATAGATGCTGAACCCATTCAGAGAACCCCGTGCCTCCAAGCTGGCGGTTACATGTTTGCAGATGGACGGACATCTGCTAGAAAGGCACACACATCCCCTCCAAAACCACATTTCTACTCCCTTGACGTTAGCGATCAGAAACCTTCAGCCCTGGCATCCTGTGATTCCTCTGGAATAGCGGACCAGAGGAAAAGTTTTCACCGCCGCGGCGAAGCCCCGCGCGCGAACACACGCAGACTCGGGCTGGAGTTTGGGCTATAAATAACTGCATCACTAGGGGGAGAGGTTCCTGCAGCCAGAATGTCTAGTTCGCTTTGCTCTTCTGGGTGCAAGCTACGTGAAGAGGATTCTGATTCTAGGAGCCTGAATTCTTTAGATGCAGAAGTGAGATATATAAAAGGCGCGGGGGCGGTGGGAGGGAGGGTGGTGATCGGTGGCTGGCGGGTGGCGAGTGCGCCCGGCTTCTAGGCGGCGACGCTTCTAGGGCGCAGCGGCGACAGAGAGCTGGCGTTCTAGGAGCCCACAAGCCCCGAGGCGGCCCGCAGTACCCAAGGGCTAGCGCTGGGAACCGCTTGGAGCAGGTGCCGGGCCTCCTGGGGCATTTGGGGGTGACTAGAGGAAGATAAGAAACCCCCTTCCCTCCCTTTCCTTGTGCACGTTCTCTCGGGTAGGTCAGTTATCATCGCTACAGGGAGCGCGTGTCAGACTGACGCTTGGAGGCAAAGTGCAGCTGCTACTTTTTCTCTCCGTAAAAGCCGCCGCCGCCGCCTCTTCCTCAGAGGAGATGCTTCCCGAAAGCCACTCTCCTCTTCCCGACTCCTTCTCGAGCGAGGGCGCCACCGGATCCCTGGAGTGCCCAGGTCTGGCAGAGGCGTAATGGATGCTTGGCGCGGCTGGCGCGCCAGTCTGGCAGTCCCCGCTCCGCCCCTCCGACGGCCCCGCCCCAGCCCCGGGACGCCAGCCTTTGCCCACGCGGTCCTTGGCTGGGTCAGCTAGGGCGCGCCCCCAATCTAGCCCCTCTCCCATCACCTCTCGGACCTTACCGCGGGGCGCGGAGCCCCGGAGTCCCAGGCCTGGTCCCCAGCGTCCGGGTGAGCCGAGGGACTGACTACACCTTCACGGGCGCAAAGGGAGGTTGGCACTCTGCTCAGAGCGGGAAGGGAAACGCGCTCTCTTGAGGGTTTAACCAGAGAGCGGACCGAGCAGAAGAGAGACGCACTGATCACTTGAGAGGGGCTTCTGATTAAACGTTCTCGGGCCGGTTTCTGTTTTGTTTTAATTTGTTAGTTTGTTTCTCTCTTAACTTGTTAAGAGAGAAGGCCGTCACTGCTCTCTGCTTAGGTCCTTAGCTTCCACCCCCAGGCTGAGCTGAGGGGTTGCAGAATGGCAATAAACGGTAATCTCGCAATGTTTATTTCACACTCGGAAATGACCCAAGAAGGTCACCTGGATTTAAAATCCTGTTGTCTATATTCAGCACACAAGAAAAATAAAAATAAAGAAAGCATCTCAAAAAGAGTAGAGTACTTGGCCACCCACATTGTTTCCTTGTGCTTCATCTGTATTGTTGAGGATAAAAATAAACTTTAAAAATTACTTTTTATATAAATTCGCTAGTCCAACGATTTATCGATGTTACAAGTTGAAATATATAAAAGTGTTGTGTGTGTGTTTCTCATTTGAAAGGGAGTCAAATGTTGCTGATCAAGTTTTTTCTTTTTTTCCTGTCAAAGTCTCCCTGAGAGTCTTAAGTGTAAAACACTAAACAAAGAAACAAACAAAAAATCCTAGTGTCTCTATATCTATTTTCATTTACAGTTAGTAACTTTGACTAGTGTGAAGGAATTAAACACAGAATCAACTGTTCCTTTAAACACATAATCAATTGTTCCTTTGTTTTCTTATCATAACAAATTTTTCTTGTCTTTCAAATACATATTTTTATCCCTAGTGATTGGGTTGTATAATTATTAAACGTTCATATAAGCATGTATTTTAAGTCAAAATTTTAACATTTTTTTGAGAGTGATGTTAAGCCTATTGACATACTTAAAATATATTGAGTATTATTTCTGGACAAATTGATGCATTTGTGAAAATGGTGTAGAGTCAGATAAATATTTTTAAAGTGTAAAAACTCATGTAACTCTGAAACCAGTTTGACCAAAAGAATGAGTGCTTTAGAAGAGAGTAATTGTCCAAAAAAGAAATAAAATATATCACATAGAAATATTATGTTATTAATATATGACATTCTCATGCATTCTCATATTGATAGTATCAGGAGCATTTATAACACTTTATATACATATTAAATGCATTATGCTTTTTGATACCATAAAAGTGAAATACAACTGTTTAGAAGTCAAGTCAGAGTTTATACCATTTTAAGAATTAGCTATCACTTTGAAAATTTAGAAATTAAAAAAAAAAAATGCCGAAAAAACTGATGTTTGACTAACCTGAATAAAAATCTTGCAAATAATAGGCAATTTAGTTTTCTGATAACGTTGCTTAACATAGTTTTAACATTTCTGTATTCATTTTAGCTTAAGAAAAGACACTGTATGTGAAAATATTTTTTTAAAAGATAAACTCCAATTATCAAAAGACAATAGAAAATACTGCTGGCAGAATGTTACGAATTAATGACTGGATCAAGAGTAATGTAGGAATTATACCTTATTATGTTCATATGTTCATTATATTTGACAAAGTTCTAACAGCTCAATGGTTTACAAAACTCTAAAATATAGTTACTGTAGAATTAATATACCACATATAAAATTTCTACCCTCACTTTTATTCTAATATTGCATTTTAAGATTTATTTTAATATCGTAATTAAAGAATAGCAAATATAATATTGGTGTCTTAGTATCTTTTTTCCTTTAAGGAAGTGGAATATACATGTATCAGGAGGGTGTTCATATCATTCATTTACATAAATAACTACATATCTTAAGTCATAAAATGATAGTCATATAAAAAGATTCACCTTAAAAATGTTTACATGTGTACTTTGTGCTTAAGTGTTTCATGTAACATCTGGAAATACAACTTTCTTTTTCAGTACTACTGCTGGATTCTAAAGCACAACAAACAGAGTTGGAGTGGATTTCCTCTCCACCCAATGGGGTAAGTTTTTTTCATCATAAAATATCACTTTAATTTTAAAAATAAGAAACAAAACGTTTCCCTTCCCTCCAGGGTAGTTATTCACATATTTCATGTATAAACTGTTCAATTCCAAATATCTTGTCCAATATTATGTTATATTTATAATGAGACATTGAGTACTCTGATTAGAGAAGGTATACTTAGAACTTGGGGAAATGGAAAAAACAAAACCTCGTAACCATAGTCTTTTGAGTTCTTTTTGTGTGGAATAATACCTCAGAGTCCAGGCTATAAATGCTAACATTACAGCAAACATTCCTTTCACAAACTCACTTAAACCTCTTTAGTTGCTTTATATTTCTAGTATAATCACCATGTCAGTGGTATATAATTCTTTAAAACAGTAAGTAATCAATCTGTTTTCCTCTTTTTGAAACAGTTCTGGCATCATTCAAAATGTACTTTGAAATATAACTAAAAACTCACTATGTTCAACATTTTGGTGTACAGTTTGCTGTAACATACTATATAGATTCTCCAAATTTATATTATGTACTATCCGCTGTTATTTAGCAGAAATTATGGCAAAACCTGCACATATTACAATAAAAATCTGCAACAGGTATGAGTGACAATTGTCCAATAATAATCTACCGAAATATTAGTAAATCTTTAAAAATACTAACAATTATTTTTCATATGTAAATACAGCTCAGTATCCGTGTCTTCAGGTCTTATTTTTAATTGTGAGAGAGGACACATTCTTTATTCCTTATCGAGGAAGAGGGCTCTGAGAAAGGAGAAGATACCCTATTGCTATTTAAGTTTATCTTTGGCACCTTAAAAAAAAATCTGAAGTCAAAAGTGTGTGGAGTATAAGTTATAATATAAAAACTGTAGCATATTTTGCAAAGAGAAGAATGAAAGTTTGAAAGAGATTGTTGAGATCATGAAATCAATATGTCAGGAACTGAAAGTTTAAGAATGTAAAATGTAAACAAAACAAATCTGTTTAAAATACAGTTTTCATTAAATTTAATTTTTAAGAGATTTCTTTCATGCATATTGTGGTTATCTGTATTGGTTATGATAAATTATCAACAAATGACAACCATTTTGCAGATTAAATATAAAAATTCCATGAGTTGGAGGTATGAATATAATACCTTTCTTGAGAGAAATGGTTTCTGTGAGTAAAATAATATATGTTATAGATAGCCATTCATGATAAAAAATGAAACACCTTTCTTGCCAATGACAGATGTAGCCCATTTTCTACCATCCATCAATTAAAACAAATAGAGATAGAGGATGGTTTTATCTCTGAGGAGAAGTAAACTGATATATGATTGTAGTATTTCATCCATGTAATATACAAAATGACAAATTGTGACTGTCAATGTTATCTTGGACTCAAATGGGCATTTTATCAGTCCAAAGTATCTTGAGTTAACAGTTAACCCTACATATCTGTAGACATCAACATGTAATATTAGAAAACAATTGATCGACAATATTTTCTATATTTGTGCAATAGATTAGTTCACATGTGACTAAATACCTAACTGTAAAGAAAATGTTCCTGAGACATAAGTTTTGAGAAAACATTTCTGTAAACATACTATAAAAATGCAGTGTCTGAATGAAGACATTTTTCCCAATGGCATCATTTGTGGAAATGTTCATAATGTCTTAGAAAGTGAGATAATAAAACAATAGTCATATTAAATGAATTTATGTAGTCTCAATTTTGTAATCTACATCATAGTTTTCCTGAAGCATTCCCCTCTGAAATAAAATTTTAAGTAAAAATAAAAATTAATTGGGTTTCACGGGTAGTAAAATTGATTTTTCTTATACAGAATGAAAGAATAAATTTGTTCTTGAAGTTAGATAAAGGAATTCTTGGGATATATTCTTTTAAAATAGCTTTGGTTTCTTCAAACTGGGGAGTTGTTAAAAAGGAACACATTTATCTTTGGAGCTTTTGATTTTTTGGTATATGTCATTACTAGTTTTACTTCTTTTTGTAATTTCAGTCTAATGAAGAGACTGAAATCTACCCATCCAAATGGATGCATTTGGTTATATTTGGCTGATTGCCATTCAGACTGTAGGCAGCTAACTGAAACAAAGGGAAGATATGCACACTGTTAACTAGTCACAAATGCCAGCTGAACTGAGTAAAACCTGAACATTAAAATGGGTTCTTTACTACATTTGAGTACCTTTCATGATATTAGGCTGGGTATAACAAAATCATACTAAATATGTAACATCACCAAAGAAATTTCTGAATTGTATTATATAGCTAATTTGTCAGTCTTGTTAATTTTCTAAGGACTGGTTTTAAAAGTATACATTAATGTTGTACAGAACATTTAAATAAATCAATACTCAAATCAGGTATTTTAAATAAAACTATTTACCATATGATTTTTATTTTCTCATCTTCTCTTGAAACAATAGTTTAAATATTGTATGTTATGCAACTTTGGACTTGAACACAAATGTTTTGTATTTGGCATTTTTAATTGGGGAAATTAATATTAACAGATGACAATTTCATTATTAAGACATCATAAATACAAAGTGGGAAATTTTTAATAATTGTAAGAAAAAAACATATACTACTATTCATTTAGGCTTTTAACGCTCCTAGGTGAAATGCTTTTATTGATTAATGAGCGGCAGAGAATATTATATATGGTTTAATAGTTTGAAATTGTTGCAAATTCTGACAAATGCACTTTTTTTTCCTTTTTTGGGAAAATATTTAATATAGATTTGTTTGTAGTGTACATTATATCAACATATAAATGTACATTTTTAAACATCTGATATTTTTCCTGGAGAAAGTGACTAAATATGATCCAGCATGCAGATTTGCCATGTATATTTGATTGTCTATTGAAAGCAATTTATTTATAAAAATGAATCATACTCTTATAACTACTTATTTATAGTTATGTGGCTTTGTGTACAATATTATATGTAACACTGGAATAAATAAATAGCTCTGTAAAATGTTACTTGCTTACATCTCATTTTGCAAAGATTGTAAAATATTCCAAATTATAAATATCAACATGTTGTTGAATACTTTTACATTTCAGAGTACTGCTGGCATTTTCTTCTTCATGTTTTTAAGTACTCTGTAATCGTAAGTATGATATGGACACTTAAAATGTCAACTGAGTTATCAAAAATCCTGCCAGGCATCCATACGTATATACTTACACTGGTAATTTAAATAATTGTGAGCTTTAGTCTGTAAAAATCTCAATGAAGAACGTATACATAAGCAAAGATGTAAAAATAAAAACACTAATATACTCCCAAAAAGATAATCTCAATGAAGAACGTAAACATAAGCAAAGATGTAAAAATAAAAACCCTAATATACTCCCAAAGAGATATTAAACAAAATGAAATATTTATTGTATGTATACACAAAGCAAGCAGCATAAGTATGTTCCACCACCAGGATGAAGCAGAACCTGGAATCCTGCATTCTCTGGATTATAGTTTTGCCAGGATAGGAATCAACCTAACTTTTTCGAAGATCCACGTTTGTGAAGTACTTGCACTTTCAAAAGCAAAACGTTATTTTTTGCTGAATGCCTGATGTACTTTTTTCAACTTTTGCAGTGGGAAGAAATTAGTGGTTTGGATGAGAACTATACCCCGATACGAACATACCAGGTGTGCCAAGTCATGGAGCCCAACCAAAACAACTGGCTGCGGACTAACTGGATTTCTAAAGGCAATGCACAAAGGATTTTTGTAGAATTGAAATTCACCCTGAGGGATTGTAACAGTCTTCCTGGAGTACTGGGAACTTGCAAGGAAACATTTAATTTGTACTATTATGAAACAGACTATGACACTGGCAGGAATATAAGAGAAAATCTCTATGTAAAAATAGACACCATTGCTGCAGATGAAAGTTTTACCCAAGGTGACCTTGGTGAAAGAAAGATGAAGCTTAACACTGAGGTGAGAGAGATTGGACCTTTGTCCAAAAAGGGATTCTATCTTGCCTTTCAGGATGTAGGGGCTTGCATAGCTTTGGTTTCTGTCAAAGTATACTACAAGAAGTGCTGGTCCATTATTGAGAACTTAGCTATCTTTCCAGATACAGTGACTGGTTCAGAATTTTCCTCTTTAGTCGAGGTTCGAGGGACATGTGTCAGCAGTGCAGAGGAAGAGGCGGAAAACTCCCCCAGGATGCACTGCAGTGCAGAAGGAGAATGGTTAGTGCCCATTGGAAAATGTATCTGCAAGGCGGGCTACCAGCAAAAAGGGGACACTTGTGAACGTAAGTAATATGTCCTTTTAAAACTCTACTGTGTCTTTTTATAAACATTAATAGTTACTGGAATAAGTGAATCTGCTCTGTACCAGAAGCGCTATTCTACTGATCTTAAACAAAGTCACCGTTGAACTCAGTGATTGCCCTACGGTAGCATCTGCACTAAGTGTATATAATCAATATGGGTGATAAAGATATTTGTTACTAAAATGTAATGTGTCCTATACTTAATATGGAAGTCAATAGTTGCATTTTGGGCTATGGAGTTTAGAGAGGAGTCTGGGTAGTTGAATTTGTAGCCTGGCAAGACTGAGGTGACATTTAACAGGATTTAATGAGATGCCATTCCTCCTGTTTTTAAACCCATATTGTTTGGGCCCTTGAGTAGCAGTAAATAGGAGGTTAAGAAGGTTGTGAATAAGAGCTCTAGTGACAGGCAGGACATAAACGAATACATTTATAAACTTTTAGATTTATCTTATGTAAATACTGTAACTTTGATACAAAATTGTTCAAATATCACTTGCTAAATCTCTGTGGTTACTTCTGCGAAAGGTGTGATTTTTATTTTTGGACTAAATACAAAAATGACCACATTTTTGTGGAAGTGGGCCAAAGTAAAGTTTTAGTTATTATAGTACATCAATTGCATGTTTTGAAACAATCACGTATGAATTAGTAAACCTTTTTCTTTGTTTTATAAAACCATTTTTTTTTTCTCTTTCCTAGCATTATGTGGCTAAATATTTTAAAATATGTCATGTGGGCCTTCAAGATTGATAGATATTGTTTCTAGGTTCCATGAAAATAAATTATAAAGTTACATTACTAGTGTCTCTTTTTAACTTATGACATATAAAACATAGTACATTAAAAATAACACTTATATCTATATATATATATATTTTACGCCAAAGCCAGAAGCACAGGCTTTATACTTGCAATTCTTAGTTGAGCTAAAGGGGACCACTGATAATAATAGCTATTATAACTAACTTTTATTGATAACTTAGTATGTGCAGACATTCCTCCATTTCCTTTATATATGCAAGCTTATTTAAAAAGGTGGGTATCATTATCATTTCTATTTTATACAATAAAAAAAGAGGATATCAAGATATCTAGTTACATTAGTAATATTTGTCTAAGCTTACCTTCAAACTTGGGACATTCTGACTTTAGAGCCTGGGCAACAATATTGCCCTAGTTTCAATCACAAAGCAAGGAGAATCCTAGGAAATAGGATTCATGGCTCATAGTGTTTAGGTGCCTCATATACGTATGTAAATTGGATTACTTCCCCATAAAATTCTCATTCTAGTAGAATATTTTTAAAATTAAATAATGTTTTAAAAATATTTAGACCTGTGCTATACGGTTCTGTACCCAGCAGCCACATGTGGCTCTTAAGGTTTTGAAAAGTGACTATTCTAAATTGAGATGTGCTGTAAGAATAAGTTTCACACTGGATTTCAAAGCCGTCCTGCAAAAAAAAAAAAAAAAAAAAAAAGTAACATATGTCTTTAACCATTTTTAAGAGTTGATTACATGTTGAAATAATCATATTTTAGATAAACAGGGCTAGAGGATAATATTAAAATTAATTTCAGCTGTTTCTTTTACTCTTTTTTAGTGTGGCTAGAAATATTAAAATTGCATTTGTGGCTCACTTTATATTTGTGCTGGATATACTTTTCAAATGGAGTAACTGAGCAAATATCTTTTTCTGTCCTATTCAAAGAGTTAAATACTTCATGTGGCTGACTGCTAAGCATGTAAAGTGCCTATGGCTCTGCACTCAATTATCATCTACACCAGAGGTGACATTGTGAAGTGAACTCTGAGCAAAACAAATGGAGATGATACAGGTTCAGGTCCCATAGGCCAGTTTAGCAGTCTCCTTTTATGTCCCTGAAGGAGTCAAGCCTGTCTCCCATTGTCCCCTTTCCCTTTCCCTCACTGGCAGTATTTCTAATTGAGTAGAAAATCTTGCAGTTTCCGTATATGTGGAAATCAGAAACTGATGAAGATTTATCCCTGCTTGTAAGCAAAATGCTATTCCACTGGGTAAGTATAGAAATATTCTCAGTGATGAACTGATCAGTTCAACGAAAGGCAGTGTTCCTATTGACAAGAGGTTAACAGTTACTCGAAAGTGATGGTGGATTCAGCAGTAACTGTTACAAAAAATTTTAGGAACATTATTGCACTTTAGCTGTGAAAGCAGCAGTTTCAATATTATGCAGATCTTGATTGATATGACAAAGGAACTTAAAACTTTTACACAATTAAAATGGGAAAAATAACAAAGCAGAAATACGTATAAAGGTACACAGTTAAATTTATACGAGAAAAGATAGGAAATAACATTAAAGGCCCTGTGTTTTAAAGGTTTTAAAGAAGATTACAGGTTTTTGTGGCTGTTGTTTCACTTTTTGCAATTTAACTCATTTATTTGTTAAGAAAATGTGCTTTCCACATTTATTCGTAAGAAAATGTGAACAGGAGCTGCTCGAGTTTTATGCTTCTAATTATAGAATTTAGTAAGAAAAGCAGTCTTAAACCACAGTAAGTAGATATATTTATCATGAAAAATAAACCTCAATTTATTTCAAATGAAAAAAATCATCTCATTAAACATGGTACTATAAAATTACTTACATTTGTCAAATTTAATTGGAAGAATTGAAACATATTACTATCAAAATTATTGTTACCTGTAAACTATACCAAGGTTTTTAAAAATAAAATAAAATTACTCCACTATCATCTTCATTAATTCTGCCTCTGAATACTTGAAATTAGTTGTTAATATTGTAGTAACAGTTCATTAAAAAATAAAAAAAAACATGGTTAAAGGAGGCAAGATGCCGCCTTATGGTTTAACCAAAAGAATATGTGTGCGTTGTTATAAGTCAAGTAAATTGCTTATGACATAACTTTCTTAATTTTTAGCCTTGGTAATGTTGACAAAGGAATTAAATACCTTCTACTTAACCATAGAACTATGTTCATTTGCAAAAACACTTCCCTCCTTGGCGTAATTCCAATGCATTGCTGCAAGAGTACTTGCCTCTGGAATCACTCCAGGCTTGCCTTTATAGTATTCTTCCTGTTTCCTTTCAATAATCCTGTAAAGAGTTTCAAAACAAATTTCAGTCCCATATTGAGGAAAACTAATGTGTTTGGGAGAGGATGCTAGTGAGTCCCTAGCCAAATGAGAGTGGTTAGCCACTTAAAGGCAAGTTTATCTGGGCACATTTTGAAGTAGCGGCCTATTGTGATGTTTGCTAGAAGACAATATGAAATATGAATTACTATAAAAAACTGATTGTTGGTTCGAACAGTTGATGTAGGAGCTTCTCTTCATGACTGAAAAAATAGCTCAATTTTGAAAATCAAATGCTTCTCAAGTCTACTAATATGTGGAGAACTTCTGTCCAATTCTTAAACATAGTATTTTTATGAGGACATCTCTTTATATTGATTTAAGAATTTATAATTTCATTTAGTATACTTTTATTGTCATTTTTTAAGTTTACAAGTTACATAACAACTTTGCAAACTAGTCAATATATTTTCTTAGATTAAAAGTTACAGTTATTTTACAAATTGAGAGATCCTGTTATATTTTACACATGTAAATATTTTAGGAAGACTAATAAAATAAATCTACTGAAATATATTTTAATTTTTGTAACTTTTGTACAATTTTATTCCATTTACAAAATAGAATAGTGCTTGTCAAAGTGTGGATCTGGATATTATAACTTGGATTTGCATAGGGAGTTTGCAGTTTATACTGAACAGTCACATTCAGTTTCTCATTTAAACCTCACCACATCACTAAGATGTGGAAAGTATTATTATTTTTCTCTCTCTTTCAACGTATGGAGAAACTGAAGCTCAGAGATATTAATAAGTAACAAAATTGGGTAAGAATTCAAAAATTCTGTTTACCAATTCAAGTCTTTTTTCCCCACACCACTACGTCCCTAAAATTTGTTCTGGACTTTATCCAGTAGATTTTAGTTATGAAAAAACTAATAAAACTTTATTCTATGTAGGGTGACCATATGCCCAATATGCCTGGGATAATTGTTTTTTAAATTAACACTGCTTCTTTTTGCTTTGAAAAATGTTTTTTCTGATTTGGATGATAATCCTACTTGCAAAAAATTCTTCTCATTTGGAAGTAAAAAATTCAAAGACATAAGATTTACATGCACATATATCAGAATATAGAAATGTGATTTACTTGCATTACTTATATTGCTTAATTTAAATTTTTTGAAAGCAAATAAGTAAAATTTTTCTTTCTCATGATTTCATGTAAAGGGGAATTCAAGTAATCATACATTTATAATTTTTATAAGAAATTTTACTGGTAGCAGCTTTTTAATAGTTTCTATTGTTAAGAGGTCTATTATTATTTTAATAATATATAATTTATGAACATATGTATAATTTAATAAATGAAACAATACATTCAATTTTATAGCATTAACAATATTTAAACTCTGTTTCTTGATCAACTTTTTTGAAAACTACTTTATTTTTGCAGACAAGTAGCATGCAATTTGTACCATGAAATATTCATAACAATTGAGTCTTTATATAGTATTTATAATCGTGTGTGTGTGTGTGTGTGTGTGTGTATATATATACACACACACAGAAATGTAGGAAACACCAGTGGGTTAATAGCTCAGATGCTAGAGTCAGTTTCAAAATGCTGCTTTCACAAATACTAGGTGCATAAAGTAGGACAATCTCTCTAAACCTTAATTTCCTTAAGTATAAAATGGGGCTAATAAAAATAGTACCTCCCTCATAGGGTTCTTTTCAGAATTGAATGAAGTAATGTATGTACAAACCCTAAAAATAGTATGTGGGACATAGCAAATAATCAATGAATGCTTCTTATCAATAATACAATAAGGAATTTGCTAAGTAAAGAAACCTCATGGTGATGAACAAATGAACATATATCTCACAGGCCACAA